TTTTTTTTTTAAAAAAAAAATTTTTCTTTAAAATAAGGGTGCGTCTTATACACTTGTGCGTCTTATATTCCGAAAAATACGGTATTGGACAATTAATTGCTAGCTCAGCATTGTGACGTAAACTTTAAATAGCGTCATTTAGACAGCTTATATAGCTGGGTGCTGTAAAGAAAAAAGTTGTTGGATAGTTGGTGAAGGCTTTGAGTAGGAATGGTATGATGATGTGAGCGTATCAGTTTAATAGAATTTTGTGAACATTTGGCTTTTAAATTACTCATAAAAGTGGAACTGTGCTATATATGATTAACTTCTGGCATATCGCTACAATTAGTACAAGTCAAATGATAATACTCATCAAGAAACTTGTGATATGTTATTGTTAGATTATCTGTAGATACAATAGTATTATTTTTAATATGCTTTGCGTACAACTACAACTTGCAAGACTAACTTGAGTTGTACTTGTACCTTGTATTTAAGCTAAGGAACAGACACTAAGTTCTCCAATATGAGTGTGACCAATGACTTCCAAACAACTTGGGCTCAGCGATTTCCTGACTGTGAGTTACCTCAAGCTTGGGTAGAAGATGTTCGTGCAAATTTAATCAAACATAGGGAAAGAATTTTATTTCTTAAAGACGAGGTAGAAAAGGAAGAATTTTATGTGGAATATTTAGAAAAGCTTTTGGTAGACGCTGAAAAAGTAAAGCACTTAGTAAGAGATGTCCAGGGCCTTACTACTTCAACTTCAAGTACTTATTCTACTATTGGTGCTGCTAGTTCCACACCTGATGCCAGGCCTAGTGAAAGTGAATCAGATTTAACTGAAGCAGTCCGTGCCCAAAATATTAGTCATATAGATAGCATTTCTACAACTGAGATTAATGAAAATATTACAAAAAATGTTTTTCGAAATGTTCGTAAGAGTGAACTTCTATCAAATGATACTGATACTAAGTTGCACACTCAGTCAGAACAGAGTTCAATAAAATCTGAGCTGACTGTTGGTGAAGGCAAAGAAGTGTCATCGAAAACAGAACATGTCACCACAGAACCATCCTTGCAGAGGAGCTCCTATATAACAGTTATAGAAGTTGGTTGTAACTCCAGTGAACAGAAGGCATTTCTAACAACTTCAATCACAAAATCAACAGAAATGACACCAACAGTTTTTCCAGAGGCACAAAGAAGGGTAAGTGTTCTTTCAAACCCATCTGAATCTTCAGATAATCAAGTTGAGATATTTTCTCAGAAGAAGAAAAAACCTCCAACACCACCACCAAAAAAGCCAAGGCAGTCTCTTTATGCCATAACCCCTACTTATAACCCTCCAATGGAAAAATTTGATGCAACTTTTGTAAATGTTGGTAATGCAAGTAACTTTGAAAATATAGAGAATAAACCAGTCTTAGTTGTAGGTGGTACTGAAAATATGGCAAATTCAGTAGAAAATGACTTGACTCAAAAGTATGCAACATTTGAAAGAAGTTTCAGTGCTTCTTCAGAAAAGGATGAACTTGAAGATAATATTCACACTGCAACAGTTTGCACTTTCTCTACTTTCAGGCCCAGTGTCTCTAGTGTTAATGACATATGTGAAACAGATTTAAATCTGAAAAGCCATTCCTCTGGAACTACGAGTTCACATAGCAGTAGTAGTTCTTACTATTTGACACAACAAGTGCAAGCTACTGCATCAACTGTTGAATCATCAATTAATGTTGGTATGAACAATCATGTGCAAGAGAATGAAGAAAACACCTACAGTGAAGAGGCTCTTTATGACACTGTTGCTGTAGATGAGGATCTGGAGCTACAAAACTCTGTTTTTCAACAAGATGAAAATTCACTTCAAATAGAAACCAACATGTCTTTTGAGGAGGAGGATGAAGACGAAGATTATGTTGTGTTTTCTGAATGCACAGCACTTGAATACAGAGATAATCGAGGAGAATATTGTAACCAATCTACACATGCAACTGTAACCGAGAGCCAAGAGCTACAGGAGCAGAATGGTTGTGGTAGTCCCAGTTTCTCAACATATGTTAATATTGATTATTTCCTGAAAAATAATGTAGATGGAAATCCAAGTATTTTTCAAGAAGAGGTTCTCATGGTAGATTCTGATGATGATGGTCTCCACATACATTCTTTGCCCAGTGACCAGGAATTGGATAATGACCTCTCCTGTAGTGGAGGTGAAGCGAGACCAACTGAAGCAGTAAGAGCAACAGCAGTAACAGAAGATATTTTTGAAGTGGACTCAGGTATGGATATATAAATGGGTTGATTTGAACTTTAAAATTAGTACACATTTACTAATCTATGCTGTTTTATACAGAAGGTATTTTTCTTCATTTACTGAGTGTATAGTTGAGATGCAAATAACTTATTTTTTATTCTATAGCAAAAAATTTCTTGATGACAGGAAGCCATTTCACCCATCAAGATCACTCATTAATGCAAAAACAAGCAAGTGCAATATCAATTCCAAGTAAATACTACTCTTTAGTAACTTATGATAACCCAAATGTGTTATTTTTCTTCTTAGTGTAATTATCTGTCATTAGCTAAATATTTGCCCAACTAACCAATTGATACAAGTTATTATATACTTCCTCAACATTTTCAATACAGCTAGAAATACCAAAGATTTTAATGTCATAAGAAAACTTTATTAATTTACTTATTTTTCCACTATAAGTATCATTAATGTAACTTAGAAAGAGCAATGGCCTAAGCACTGACCCCTGAGTTACTCCACTAATTAGGTTAGTAAATTATATTAATAACAAGCTTTAGCTTTGTCCTATCTAACCACCCTATAAAGTATAATGTAATTAACTAGTCTTTTTCCCAAGCCCTACAAATGTAATTTTCTTAGCTAATCTTTTGTGTTCTACCTTACCAAAAGTTTTTCCATCCAAATAACAAGCAAATACTTGAAAAAAGAAAAAAAAAGATGATATATTAGAAAAGCAAGATTTCCCATTAGTGAATCCATATTGGCTAACTTGGCTTTAATTTATATCATATTTCACTCTCTGTTGATCTGTCAAAAATGAAAAACTTGCATATCTGATCTTTGACCTCCTATAAAACCATGTGGAAAACCTTGACTGGTCTTATGCTTAATTTGTTTTTATTCTTTTTTAATATTTTTACTTCAAATTACCACCAAGGGATTAATACATGTATTTCAAGTCAATTCCAATGTTTACCATAGAATGCCTAGGGTTAGGAATACTGCATATTTCCTATATCTCCTCTTGTAAAACCAAAACAGAACATTTAAAAACTTAGCTATTTTATAGTCTTTAATGCAAACCTTGTCATAAGAATTCTTTTAGAACCCAAACCCCATTCTAATATTTTGCTTACCTTCATATTGAGGATTCCCCATTTGTTGTTGTTCTTTTTCTTTTTGTTCCACCAGCCTACAGCAAAATGGGTGCGAGTATTACAATCAAACCTGTGCAATATTACTAAAGATATCATTGTGCATCACGTGAATGCTTTTTAAGTTATTTCTCAGGGCTCACGCTTAACTTTTTTTTTTAGGAGCCACCTGTGACTCCCCAAACATGCATTTTTAAGGGCAAACCCTATAGTTCATTGTAAAATGTATTATATAGCAGAGGTTACCAGAAATATCACAGAATTAATTAGCAGATGTTATGTAAATTGAAAGAAAACTAAAGATATCAACTTGTGAACTTGTATTTCATGAAAAAATAAACACAAGTCAAACCATTTCATTTTTTTCAGACCACTTTAAATGATTTTGATTTCATATATGATCTTTAATTTCTCTTGAAAGCATGGTATAACATTAACTTTTTGTTACCCTGTTCATCACTCTCAGTGTAATCTATTCTTGTTCCCATATAACCTGTTACCATCTAGCTGACACATTTGTCAATAAAAGGACAAACATTTTTGATGAAGAGATGGAAAAATCATACAATTTACATCACCACTAACTTTATAGCAATCAGTTTTTCATATTCTGAAACAACTATTAATTAGTCATTCATGAATTTGAATTTGTAATAAGCAAAATCCTCAAATTAGCAACATATGGAAAACATGCAATTAGCTTTAAAATGACTTAGGTGGTGATGAGTTATGTAATATTAGTGTTCTTTCCTAATCAAAATATATAATGAAAGGAAAGCTAGAATGCATCAGTGTCAGTATTCCATGATGTCCCAACATCCATTTCTTGGATTCTTCTTTTATCTCTTTCTTCATCACTCTCTTGTACCTTCTTCTCAGCATTAGGTCTTGTGTGAAGTGATCCTGATTTCCAAAGATGGATATCTGTTATGGGATCAAAGTCACTTATTAAAGGTAAGTGGAACTTGACCAGAAGTTGATCAGTGATCCTGTCAGCTGCCAAACAAGATCTGATATTGGTCTTGATAATTTTCATCTTGCTGAATCCTCTCTCTACCTCAGCAGAGCTGGCCGGGATGGAAATCACTAGGTCACAGGTGTTGAGTAGCTCCTCCTTAACCCCAAGTATGATAGCAGCCCTTGGCTGGCCTTTTTTGCTATGTCTGGTGAAATTAAGTAACAAAATAGATGTGGAAAACATATCAGAGAAATGCTAATGTGAATTGCATTATTATTCTTTTTTTTTAAGTCATTATTTTGTGGTCATTTAAAATTATTATTTCATATTATAAAACATTTTACTGATAATTGGGTTGGAAATTGGAATTGGGGCAATTTTTTTGCATAATCAAGTGACAATCGGGATTGGTAGAATTAGTCAAATTTTCCGATCATGGAAAACCAATTGCCAGGAAATTAAAAATAACACCACCAAGACTACTTTATTCAAAATAACAGTCTTCTTCTGATTTGTAAGTATGCTTACAATTATGACCCTCTATTTTTTCTTTTGATACAAAACATGAAACATTATTCACCACATGATAAAATGCCATCAGTTAAAACAATCTGTTTCTCATTTACTTACATAAGTTGATACATTGAATGAGAGAAAGGTTAAAAACCAATGCTCTGCACATCACGAAGCATACCCATTTCTTTATGCACCATATGTCGGCAAACTGTCGATAACAGCATCCTATGCACTTGCCAAAGATCTACGGGGACTTTAGTCAGGAAGTACTTGGGATGATACGCTATGTGGTTCTCCGTTAGTACTGCACTGTGTATTAGCTCATTGTTTAGGGAGGTTGCCGAAGAGCGAATGACAACAGAGCAATTGGAAATATGGAATGTCCCATTATTTTCCAGTAGGAGGTTTTGTTAATTGTGTAAATTGCACATGTCAGTGTCAGAGATGTCAATATAAGTTGAATGTGGTAAACAGGTCCTTTCCTAACATTCTGCTGACTGCCTCCATCTGATTCGTTAGCCCCCCTGCAGATCAATACCTCCACCGACTATCTGTCGCCACACCATGTTTAAACAGAAGATCCCTGCTCAAACTTCTTCATCCATCGCCGTTCCACCAGCGAAGACTAGGACTCAACCAAGATAGAACCACGCCCAGCCAACTAGAATCCTTCAACCACCCCTATCTAAGAAAACATTCCTGCTCCACTAGACAACCAATGACAATGACTTCCATGCTTATCACTCCCTTCTACTTCATACTGCCTCAATACCACTCTAGTTTAA